AGTCTCTCTGTAAGTGGGATAATATCTGTAGTAGCTTGCATAGAGAGGTGACCAGGGATATCAACGGTGACAAACGAAGCTGCTAACCAATAGAAACCAGAAGCCTTGAAATCAGGTACGCCGTTCGAGTTGTTGATGACATCGAAGTTAAGAGTGACTGGCCTGGCGTAGGGGGTATACGCTGGGGGACGATCCATGTTACGTCCCTGAACAACATTGCCTTCACAATCAGCGACCAAGAGGGCAGTGCACTCGTTATTGTCTTCGGCAGTAGTGCTTGATGAATCAGGATATTCGATGTGCTCCATCTCAATTGCATACAACCAAGCCGAGAGATAAGGATAGCTCACGTAATGGCCTTGAGTACCGAACTCTTCCGATATGCCCCTGAGCTCACGAGCCTGCGTAGGGAAGAACTTATCAGCAGCATCAGCCAGAGTATCATAGTCTTCGTCTTGAAGCTTCTCCTTGCCGAATACGGTAGCATTGAATTCGCGGAATAGGGGCTCAAATGTATCCTCGTAAGCATACTCCTTGAGGACAGCTCTCACTGCTGGTTTGAAATGCTCCTCGGGGGGTTCAGACATATCAATGGTTACCGTGGGAGGTTCCGATGGTAATTGACCATCTCCCTCAGCAGCAGATATAGCGGACATGACCCCACGAGGTGAACTGCCCAACAAGAATAGATATAAGGCTGCGATGAAGGTGGAAGTCGATCTCGTGACGAAGGTCATTGGGAAAGGTATCGATGAAACTAAATAAATGACGGATGATCCTCGAATCCCCATCGTGAATCTGCTTACTAGAACTTTGAAACATATATAGTATATATTTTATACCGGACCTGGCAGCAGCTAAAATAACAGCTTGTAAGGGACAAACGTTTCACAGTTCTGTGTGTCTAGTGCTCCTCCTATGATGGTGGGCATGCAACCCACGGAGCTCTGGATCTAATCGCAGCGGAGGCACTTTCCGTGTTGTTTGCCTTCAACTCTTCTCGATTGCCCTATTGAGTTTTCATCTGGAAGGCGAGCCACTATTCGTCATAGTCTAATGAAATTAAAGCCGCCATCGGAGTTGATGATGCTGCTCATCAGAGAGTCGGATGCCTCGACCGGGGATGCCTACACCACGTACAATCGTTCGAGTGCATCACGGCCGGGGCCCCAGCAACACGTTCGGTCCTATTCCGACTCGACTTGGATCGAAGGCTCTTCCTATCATTGCTAAAGTCGGACCGGGGCGCCGTTTCTGGCATGCTGGACTATGGTATAAAGTCATCTATTCCTGGTCGTGAGAATCTCCTTAGCGCATCGAGGACGGTGTCCAATAATTGCAGAGGAATCGATCTTCAATTCCTCTCAGATTGCACATACTAGCCGACTACTACGTATTCACGAAGGAGTACAGCGAAACGATCGATTGTGTGGATATCTTCATTGAATTCTGTGCAAGCTTTTCCTCGGTTGATGGGTGCTCAGAAGATAATGAGTTTTCTCGACAGGCTCAGATCAGTTGGTCTCTTTGCTTCCGTGAATAGTAGTAGA